CAGAGTAAGCACATCTCAGCATAGGGAAGAGCCATCAGTCCCTGGGGGGCTCTTTGCTCTGCTCTGGAACAGATGAGGTAAAAAAAGCCGCGGCGGGTCCTGAGGATCGAGTTGCTTTGAAAGGTTTAAAAAGTGACACCGTTTCCTCATGCCCTGTCCTCTCCCAGAACACAGCCTGGTGGGATAACAAGGAAAAAAATCACGGGAGGAGGTCTCAAGGATGAGAAAGAGAGAGAGAGAGGAACCCCCACAGGCGTCCCCATCGCTGCAGGGTGGCGAGTCAAGATCCCAAACTTTGGTATATTCAGGTGCTGGAAAAACACTTCAGACTCTTAAACCCTTTCAGGGTTTTTGGTTGCTTGGGGTTTTTAGGGTTCTTTTTTTTTAAATTTTTTCTTTTTTTTTTTTAATTCAACACAGTGTTGTTTGTCGTGTGTTCAAGGAGTTTGGTTTCATTAAAAGTTTGCCTTATCCTGCCATCAGCATTCACTTAAAAACTTAATTTTTGCTGCATTATGAAGCAATTTTCAAGTTTTTATGGGGGAGAGGAGTGGAGGTGTGTGGAGCCTTAATATGGTTCCCAATACAAGAGCAGAACACCTTTACTGTTGCCTTATAAAGCAACATTTTAGCTAATTAACATTCACTTTTCTTAGTTCCATTTCTCAGAGGTAACTTATAATTACTCCACGAATCCTCAGCACTTAAAAACTGATGGTCTTTTATGAGTGAAACACGGATTATTGGTGCCCAAACCAACTGAGAGAGGGTCTGAGGGCATCAGGAACTCACTGCTCAGACTTGTGGTACCTCTCAAAAGCAAAATCACTTGGCTGTGTTTTGCTGGCACCTCTGTGGGGATCTCCAGGTAATTTGAGATTATTTGCTACCATTTCAAATGTTCTCTCTGGTTCCTTGTTTTGACTTAACTCCTAAAAAGCTTATTTAAATTGGGCATTTTATGGAAGTCTTAAATAACCACTTGCATACCTATAAAACAAACCACACCAAAGGGCTGAGTTCGATCCCAACTTCCTGTGCACAAAAAACACCCACGAGTGTCCAGCTAATTTACCCACGAAAAAAACTCCATTTTCCATTAGCCAGGTGCTCAAAGAAAGGCTGAAGGAAATTCCTGGGCACCAGAGGGACTATCTTTGGTTTAAAGGATGGCACGACGTTACCAGCCAGAAAGAGAGATGGATGCAGCAGGAAACTCTTCTGCACAACTCCCTCCCCAGAGGGGTTTTGTTTGGACCCAGCAGCCCCAGGGAGAGAAGCAGGAGCACAGATTTGCTGGCCATGAGGACACAAACTGACACTGCCTCAATGCTGGGGCAGATCAAGCCTTGGAAATGGAGCTCTGGATTTTCCAGCATCAGCGGGAGAGTCCTTCCCTCAGGCCCCGGAGCGATTGCACTCTGCTGAAACTCTTCTGATTATCCTGACATTTGGCTAGAAAGACCTCCCTCACCCCCCCACCCCAAAAATCCATGGGCTCATTATAAAATAACACTATTCACATACTTCTGAATCAATATTTTCTGTGAACACCTTCAGATGCTGAATACTTAAGAAGAAAAATATATCATACTATAGAGAGCTCGTGCTCCATGACACGTGGCTTTGGGCTGGATCCAGGGACTGGAGATGCCTCTGGAGCCCCTGGCTGGAAAGCAGGGACCCACACAGACAAGAGCTGGTCTGGAGAGGCTGTTGCAATGTTTCTGTTCTGCAGAGTGGAGCTCTCCCAGTTCCCACCTGGGTTCAGATTTCTTCCCGTTCCCGTTCCCTGCAGAAAACACGCAGCCAGCTGCAAGGTCACATCCAGGTATCTCAGGGCCAAAAAAAAAAACAACCCCAGCCGTCGGCAGGATGAACATCAGTCCAGCAAATTAAGGAATCAGGCACGAGAGCAGCCCCCCAAGTTCCTTTCACGACTTCCCCAAAGGACTAGGCCAGCTGAGTCGGCGTTCCCAAGATGCAGCACCACGACGGGCGGTTGCGACGAGACCGGACGGGGCACGGAGAGAGCGAGGGAGGTAATTCAGTACTGGAGCTGCGCAAACTGGTGTCTGAGCAGCTCTTCAGCAGAGGGTCTGTGCCTGGCTTCCACAAAGATCTGCTTTAGGAAGTCCCTGCAGTGTTCTGATATGTGGGAGGGCAGCTGGGGGTTGGTGGGTTGGGTGGCGATTTTGAAGATGGCGGCCATGGCTTCGTACTCGGCCCAGGGGGGCTTCTCCGTCAGCATTTCCACCACGGTGCAGCCCAGGCTCCTGGGAAAGCAGGCAGGACAAACACAAGTGAGGATTGACTTAGTGTAGCACAGCGTTCAGGGAGAGCTCCCCAAGCAGCCAACAGCGAGGTGCAGCTCTGGGAAGTGCCATCTGTCCTGCTCCCCTCTGCTCAAACTCTCCTCTCAGCAAACATTTGTGTTAACGCATGAGGTGTCCCTGAAGGCACCATCTGACCTCAGTGTCCTTCAGGTGCTGCTGCTACTGCTGGAACTCAAAGGCACTTAGAGAATCAGAGGATGCTTTGGGTTGGAAGGGACCTTAAAGCTCACCTTGTTCCACGGGCAGGGACACCCTCCACTAGATCGGGTTGCTCAGGTGCTCGACTTGCTGAGTTGCAAGGTTAGAAAACAGAAGTTTTTAACCAAGGTGCAGCGAATCAGAGTTCACTGACCCCACAAAACCATCTCAGCAAAAAGCCTTTCCTCAGTCACAACCTTGGAATGCCCACGTGGGGGGGAAAAAAAAAAAAACCCATCCTAATAATACCTCCACAAGAAACCAAGCATCAGTCAAAAAACAATTAAAGCTGTAACAGCTCCAAAGTGGGAAGGCTGTAAGTCAAATCCCAGTGGGACAGATGCATCATTACCTTAAAAGAAAAATTCCCTGTAAAGTTAATGGGGCTCTGCAGGCTCCTTCAAGGCAAGAACACCATTCTGGG